TCTCATTATAAATCGCGAATTATAAAGAGTATTTAAACTTCGACTTCTTTAAATATTTGACTGTGATTATTAGTATTTTTTATTTTTTGTATTTACTTACAACGGCATATCAAATAGCCCTACCCGACGGACGCCCCCTTTAAGGCGACCCCAAAAACAAGAAGCAYAAGGAGAAAGAAGAAGAAGACGACAAAATGTCAGCACGAGTGAAGCGAACGCTAACAACATGTCAACTACTGTTAGCTGCGGTCACGTTGCCTCTGCCTATGGCTAAGCCTCTGCCTCTGCTGCTGTTGCCGCTGCTTCTGACATTGCCATTGGCATTGCCATGGGCCGCAACTGCAGTTGGAGGTTTGTCGGCAAACTGGAAATAGACACGCCCACCAAAAATGGGCAGCGGGAGCAGCAACCGCAGCCACGATCAGCGGCTAGTTAAGGCAGCGACCACAGCCGCAGTCGCAGTCGCAGTTGCAGCGCAGTCGAGGCTAGAGCGAAAGCGGCTGCGACCGCAAAATGCTGTTGTGCCAAAACTGAAAAAAAAAAATTAAAATAAAGAAAAAGAAAATCAAAGAAAAGAAAGGAACGAAGGGAACAACAACAAAAGCGCAGATGAACGAACAACTATTTGGACTATGTAATTTGCGAGCTTTTATGGACGCACTGTGTTCAATGAGAACCAGCAGAGAGAGAAAGAAACGAAGACGGAGAGGAAAGAAAATAGCCAACTAAAGGGAAGGGAAACAATTAGAGACTGCAAAGGGGAAGCAAAGGCAGAGATGAAGTGCCATTACAACTGTGTAATGTGCGAGCTCTATGACCACACGGTTCAATTATTTGAATGCACTGAGAGAAACAGTGGAGCATGTAGAGGATCAAGACTAACAGTTATGTAAATAAAGAATCATTTATTAACTTAATGCACACATGAAATGTATATATTGGAACTCTAAGTCAATATTTCGAGAATCATAGAATTTGAATAAGTTTTATATACAGTAGACACTCGCTAATTGAGCATGGATAAAAAAAAAAAAAAAAAAATTATTAAAATTGTATGAATTACAAATTGCATAAATTATAATGTATCAATCATAATTTTATAATGATACAATTTTAGTGACTTCATATGGCATATTAATTGATTGTAATAATCCAAAAAACATAGTATTTAGCGAGGTATTACTGTATATTCAGCATGCCATACTTGAAAATCGTTCAAAAATATATTTGTTTGTTCCAAATACTTTAATTTTAACTAAGAGGAACTTGGGTTCTACCACAGAGTCCGAGTCTTAAGCCTAGAACGAAATGATTCGCTGATTCACATTCCCTGTTTTGAGTGAATCACAAAATCAAAGCTGATTTTGGAATCTGGTCTTGTTTAACTGGCAATAGGTACTACTGTAGGCGACTCATATTACTAATTATAGATAAATTAATTAAATTCATTCTAAAAGTACTTTGTCTGGTAATGTTTTTCTTTCCTTGGTGAAACTTTTAGGGTAATGACTGCCGTCATAGCCAGTAATTGCTGTGGCAACTGTAGCAAAGCAGCTTTGGTCAGTCAGTGAGTGAGTCAATCAAGCAGTCATTTCATAGGATATATGTATGTATATGATTTATAGCAATTTGTCAAACAGCCCTCGCATGCATTTTTACTTACGTTTCGGATAGAGAGGCGGGCGGCTCTTCGCTGTCTCTGCAAGGCTGATCGCATTTGCCACGGCGTTGACCTCGGCTGCCGCTGCTGCTCCTGCTCCTACTCCTGCTGCTGCTGCTGCTCCTCCTCCTCCTGACAGCGACGGCGGCTGCGACTGCGGCAGCGGCGGCGGCTGATGTTGCTTCATGGCTGAGCTGCCGCTGCCCAAAACGCCGCCGCTGCTAAAAAGGCGACGCTGCTGTAGAAATGCCGTTTTGTCTGCCGTTTGCTGCTTGTTTGTGTATTGTATTTATAACTATTATTATTATTATTWTACTTGTATTATTTTTTATTGGCAATGAATTGTGCGCAAAAACACCGATGCCTCACAATCTGCTAAAATAGCTACATAAATGTTTATTGTTGATTTTTTGTGCTTATCAGCGATCGAGATAAACGTATGTGCATAATAAATCTGTAGGTGTGTATGCGTGTGTGTCAATAGCTCCGACTGCTAAAATTTGCAATAGATGGGCTTAAGAGTTGCAAGAGCGAGCAAGAAAACATGCATATGTATTTACTTTTAGGGTTTCACACACACTAACACACCAGCGCACACGTACATACAGCTGCCCTATATTTACGTCCTGCTGACACCGTTAAATGTGTAATTGAAAGCGAATTGCCTTCAATGGCAGAGCAACAGCAACAACAACAATTACAGAAACAATAGCAAACTAACGGTGCTTTGGGCAGCTGTTCTTGTTTGCTATCCTCTCTGCGCCGCTTCACCTTGACCTACACGAATTCAATAATAAATGAGCGCAGCCTGCACTATGCAGCACACACACAAACACCAGCACTTGAACAAAAACGAAATTAAAATCAAATCATTCGCACATTTGTTATTTAACAATTTAAAAACAACAAAAAAAAATATTTAACTATGTATATCCGTTGCACTTGGCTTTCAAATACCTTTCCACTTGAACAGCAAAAATATAACACAACCGACCCGCGGCTAGTGTAACCGACTATTGACGAACCGAAAATGTGTCGTGCTTATATCCCCCAGGCGTAGCCGGGCACACTGCTGTTGTCAAACTCATTGTGGCACTGTTGTTTAACAGTGGTTTTAACATTTCTGTTAACTTAACCTGTGCAATCACAATTGCAGCAATAGTATCGTATCGTAATATTTGTAATCGATTACGCACAGCTGTTACTTTGTTTATCTTGGAGAGTTGACGATTATAACAGAGCAGCAACAAATTCATCGTAAGTGATATCGAAATATCAAGTACGTTGTCAGCAACTTTGAATTGCTTTAATATAATAAATATACGTTTTATTTCATGACATAGTTGCCCATAATTCAATTGAGCTTCTACAATATGAGTTTTTCTCGATTACAATTGCAGTTTGTAAAGCTAAGTCGCTTGTCAATTGCAGCAACGCAAAGCCGGTTTCATGCCAATTCGGCATTCATCGCCAAATCCAAAGAGATAACAAAACAAATACAGCAAACACAACAAAACAGACTTTGTCATTGCAGAAGCCGGAACAAAGTCAGCAATAACATAGACAACAACATGCTGAAATACCTGAATCAAAACGAGGCCATCAATGTGGACCTGGAACTCTTTAATGAGTACAAGTTCAGTGTGGATCAGCTAATGGAGCTGGCGGGCCTCAGCTGTGCGCACGCCATAGCCAAATGCTTTCCGGCGGAGCGCTTCGGACGTGTGCTCGTCTGCTGTGGCCCCGGCAACAACGGTGGCGACGGACTGGTGTGCGCCCGCCACCTGGCATTGATGGGCTACTTGCCCGTCCTCTACTATCCGAAGCCAACGCCCAAGCCGCTGTACGAGAATCTCGCCCATCAATGCAAGCGCATGGAGATTGAGTCAATTTCTGAATGTCCTAGCGTAGCGCTAGCGGCGGAGTGCTACGACTTGATTGTGGATGCCCTGTTTGGCTTCAGCTTTAAGCCACCCGTGCGCGCCGACTTTGTGCCAGTCGTGGAGCTGCTGCAGCAGACGAAGCTGCCCATCGCCAGGTCCTTAAACCAACTAAAACTTAGCTAAGTCCTGCCTAATCTCTCTTTTCCCATATTTTTGCCTTGCACAGCGTGGACATACCCAGCGGCTGGGATGTGGAGGCGGGCAAGCTAAACGAGTGCGACATGGAGCCGACGCTGCTCATCTCATTGACGGCGCCCAAGCTCTGCGCCAAGCACTTCAAGGGCAAGCATCACTTCCTGGGCGGACGCTTCGTGCCGCCCGCCCTGCAGCGCAAGTACGAGCTGAATCTGCCCACATATCCGGGCAATGAGATGTGCCTGGAGCTGTGAACAATTACGGGAATGCCCGAACCATAGATTGCTAACTGTTTTGTAACTGATCAAATCTGGAACTAAAGTCTGAGAATGTTGGATTCATTTAATGTTTATATGTGATTAATATTATTTTACATACGCATGAGAACATATATACATATATGTATGTACTTAAAAGGGTAAGATCTCGAGCTCTATTTGTACAGGCGATTGTAGTTCTTGCGTCGACGATCCTCCTCGAAGTTGTTGTTGCGCGCCCACTCCTTCAGGTTGCCCTTGGAGCGCAGCATGGCCGACTTGGAGTCCACGTCGCGCATGACAAAGGGCGAGAAGCCCGCAATGTAATCGTCATCCAGGGCATTCGTCTTGGTTTTCGCCACGCGCGACGGCATCTGGCGCGGCATGGGCTGATCCTCAAAGAGAATGGGATTGCGCGAATGCTTGCCGCCTTGGAAACGTGGCAGACTCTGGTTCTTGTACTTGGCGGTCAGCGGGCGTCGCGTATTGATGTGGATCACCTGCTTGCCATTCTCGTCCAGGCTGATGGCGACGCGCTTCAGCGTCTTGTTGCCACAGTTCGGGCAGAAGACCTTGGTCATGATGCTGGTCGTCTTGTAGCAGGCGTAGCAGCGCAGTATGTAGGTGCGCAGCTGCTTGATGATGCGCCCATTGAGCGCAGCCAGCTGCAGGTTGAGCTGCTTCAGCACATTCTGCAGCGCATAATCTGTGGTCATGCACGCCACCGGCGGCACAATGTCCGTTTCCACCTTGCCCTCGAGCGCCTTTTTCGCCTTCTTAATGTTTGAGTGCGTGATCCAGCCGTCGTCGCCAACGTCATCATCGTCGTTGCCGATGTTGGAGGCATTGTTATTGCTGCCAGGCTGGTCTTCTTCTTCGTCTTCGTGTTGCGGCTCTGCCACCAGAAGATCACAGGTTGCCTTCTCCTCGTCCGCAGATGGAGCGCATTTCAGCTTTTCGAACAGCTTGTCTAGCTCCTCCTGCGTCAAATCGTCACCATCTTCCTCCTCCTCCTGCCCATCCTCATTGTCTTCATTTGCTGCTGTGTTGCTCTGTGGACTCGTTATCTGTTTGCCTTGCAGCTGCGCTTCGATAGCTTCCTTAATGTGATCCACTTTATCGCTGCTTTTATCCAACTGTTGCCCTTTGTCATCCACGTTGCCATCTTCATTGTCATTTTCCCCCTCTTCTTCGTCGTCGTCGTCGTCGTCGTCCTCCTCCTCCTCCTCCTCCTCGTCATCTTCGTTTCCCTCGGGCATATACCAGCCCACCAGCCGTTTGTTGTTGCCGTCCTGCATCTCTTCGGGTTTGTCCTTGGAGGCAATCACCTGTGAGACGACTGGCTCGGTGCGCAGATGATCAGTACCCAGCGTATCCGCCTCCAGCTCGTATGTGAGCGAAATCACCTTTAAATCGATGCCAGACAAGCTGGCATAGTCGCCGGTCTTCTTAGCGAATTCGACGCAGTGTTTGACGCTTTCCGGGCGTGGCTCTCGCACCTGCAGATCAAATGGCAGCACGCAGAGGCGGCGTATCTGTCGCTTATTGCGCACCTCGGCCACCACCTCTGGCACAGTGAGCACATTTTCAGCGTATTCCTTAATAACACAAGAACAAAAAACACATTCATAAATTACTAACATAGTCAAAGGTAGCACTTACATTCAGTGGCACTGCATTGATAAATGCTGTAGTATCCGCTACGAGATATTTGATTTTTGTGCTAGTTTCACTCATTTTAGGTCGTTCATAAATAGCTCGTTCAGCCAACACTGGGAGGAAAAACAATTGCACGTGTTATTCCCATGCATACGACAGATTAAAAGGTGACTCGTAAATAGAACACTTAATGTTATGATTTGGAAAACTACGTCACAAATATAATTCCCTTGACCAAACGGTTCAGTTTTTAGGTCAAAACTATTAATGTATCTAATTAAGGTGTATATATATATATGATTGGTATCCGCATTTATATAAGCTGTTCATGAATAAATAATAATTATTCACTCCAAACTGTTTGGTGACGTCACATCATTTCTGTAACTGTTACCTGCAATGTAACCTATACAAAACTACCACACTATGATTCAGAGCCATGCCACAAAGTTATCGAGCTCGATTGCTTTAACATATCGATACAATATCAACATACATGACAACGTTCATCTCTAGTTTTCAAGCCAAAAATGGCGAAGTGCGTGCTCTTTTTTGTTGTTCGGTTTTGATTTTCTTGTCGATTTAAAGACCGCACAAACTTATATAAAACCGATCTAAAGCAATTAAAAAAGTAGGTTAAACAATAATCAGCATACAATCATTTGTGTAGCTTTTTATATCAAATCATTCGTGCGTGAGTTGCAGAGAATTGCCATTTGAAGTATCGCTAATGTGGAATCAGTGGCCAGTCGCAGCGGTGCCAGCTGCGCCAATAGCTGCAGCGCCGCCTCAACCCGCCATACCGCCTCCACTGCCAGATGCACCACCGCCGCCGCCACCATCAGACTCCGCGACTCCTGCCCCCGCTGCCGCAACTGCTGCCGCACCATACATGCCCGCGAGCGGAGCTCAAGCTGCTACCAATCCGTATGAACAGTATACGGCAGCGCAATATGCGGCAATGACGCCGGAGCAGCAGTACGCGCTGCAGCAGCACTGGCAGCAGTGGCAGACCTACCAACAAGAGTACGCCAAGTGGCATGCCCAGTATGGAGAGCAGGTGAGTTGCGCTTATTTAATATGTATTCTAACGTTTAAACACGATTCTATTTGTGAAACAGTACAAGCGGGAAATGGCTGCTGCGGCAGCTGTCAGCACAGTGCCTACGCCTGCACCGGTTGCAGCGCCCATTGGGCCAGTCGCTGCACCCGTGCCCTCGGCTGTGCCTGCAATCGGGCCAGTTTATCCGCCAACTCCCATTGGTCCACAACTGCCCATCCAGCAACCCATGCAGCCATACTTTGCACAGCCGCAAATGCAGCCAGTGGCGCCACAAATGCCACCGCCGCCCCAGTCGCAGACGCAGATGCCTGGCAAGATAATGGCTCAGCCTCAGATGTATAATCAACCGCCTCCGCCACCGCCGCAGACCTACCAGCAGCAGCAGCAGCCGCCGATGCACCATCAGCAACAACCACCACCAAATCATTGGCAACAGCAACCGCCGCCGCCGGCTCGATTCAATCAAATGCCGCCCGGAGGCTACAATCAGCCGCCCACTTCTGGAGAACCCAATATGTTTCCCAATCTACAGCAGCCACCGCCGTCGTTCATGCAGCCGCCTCCGCCTGTGGCGTCGTCTTCGGCCAATCAAATGGATGCTAATTGGTCAAAGGGACCACCGGGCAAGGGCAGTGGAAACATGAGTGAAACGGAGCCACGCCCGCGCTGGGATGGGCCACCACCAGATGTGGGACCGCAGCAACAGCAACAGCAGGGCGCAGCGCGCAATAATCGCTGGCAAGGCAAGGAATCCAGCAACAACAGCAGCAACAATAACAACAACAACAATAATAATAACAATAACGGCAACAACAACAGCAACAATCAGGGCCCTAATAGGCCAGGTCAATTCGGCAACCGGCGCAACTGGCAACAGAATTCTGGCAACAACAACAACAACAACATAAATCGGAACAATCCGTTCAGCAGTGCTCCACCAGGGCATTTTGGGCCAGACGATGGGGGTAAAGATTCTACTGGATCTGGGCCTTCCAACTCTGGCAACTTTGGTGTATCGAACAGCAATTACGGCGGAAACTTTGGCAATAATGGCACAGGCCAAGGACCAGGTGGTCCACCTAACTTTGGCAACAACAACAACAATAATAATAATCGTCGCAGCGGTCGATGGGAGCCAAATAGGTCGCATCAAGGCGGCGGTAACTTTGGCCATCCGAACAATAGCTTCAATGACGACGGCTTCAATCGAAACTTCAATCAGCAGCAGGGCAAGCAGCAACAGCGTGCGCCGGACTTGGACGAGGCCAGCTTTGATCGGCTGTTCGATCAATGGGAGAAGCAGTTCGAGGACTGGAAGCGTGCCAATGCCAACCATCCGGATCGCGATGAGTATCGGCGCTATGAGGAGGAGTTTGAGAAGCAGCGACGTCGGATCGCCGAGCGCCGTGAGCAGATGCGACGCCGACGTCAGGCGCAGAATCCAAACCAACAAGGGCCACCACAAGGACCCCCATTTCATCGGGAACAACAGCAGGAGGATGACCATTACGATGGGGAGCACTTCGAACGAACGCAGCAGACAAATGTGAAACCAAAATCGGGCCTGAAGCAGGAGAACGACATGGAGCCGCAGCAAGAGTCGGCCAATGGTACAAATCCAGATGAGTCGTCCCATCACTACTCACCGCAATCCGAAGCGGATGGAAAAGCGATGCCAGTGGGCTCACGCGCTAGCAAGGAGCCGCCAAAGTCGACGGCTACCCAAAAGACGCCGCAGGATGTGGATGCAGCGTCGACAGCAACAGCAACAACAACAACAACCACAACACAACCAAATAAAGCTCATCCACTGGGCAAGCGCAAGAATAACGCTGGCGGCGGCAACACCTCGACGCCAGCCAAGCAGACCAAACAGGAGAATATTTTGATCATTTCACTGGACGACGATGACGACGAGGCCGAGGCACAGATCTCTTCGGGCAAGGGGGCAGACACAGCTGGCGATACGCCCATGAAGAACATATTCAAGAAGAACGATGGCATACCAGGACTGGATTTTATTGCCGACGGAACTGCTGCGCCGCCGCCGCCGCCCACTGAATCAGGGAATTCAAAGGGCGCGGATAACAATAAGAAGATACCATCGCTGTTCGATGTGGTCATCGATAAGCCGCGCATATCGCCTACCGAGCGCACTGCCAGCGATGCGGAGAAGAAGGAACAACCAGCGTCTGTCAGCGAACCTCTGCCGGATAATGTTAGCCATGTGCTCAAGGATCCCGAGTTTATGAACAATTTGTCGCAGGCCCTTGCCCAGGCGCAGGGGCGAGAGCGTGACCAGCAGCAGGATCAGGAGCAGGGACAGCAGAAGTCAAGCGAGAGCAATGAAAATGCCAGCAACAACAACAAGCCCAACAGCAACAACAACAATAATGCCGACAGCGACGGACGCGCCCTGAGCTTTGCCGAGTGGCAGAGGAAGAAGAATAATCAGAGAGCTGGCTCGCAGGACGGACAGTCGCACAACATGCTGGATAATGGCGGTCGTGATAGTTTTGGACCCGGTTCAGGTCCAGGCTCGGGTCCAGGTCCAGGCCCAGGTCAGGGTCCGGGTCCGGATCAAAGAGCACCCCATGGATTTGGACCTAATAATGGGCCGCCATTTGGGCCTGCCGGTGCGCAGGTCATGGGACCGAACTTCATTGACTTTAATGGGCCCAACGGTCCGCCCAATGGACCCAACTTTGGAGGACCTAACTTTGGTGGCCGTCAGGGACCCGGACCTGGACCCGGACCCGGACCAGGACCATTCGGTGGCTGCCCTGGACCCAATGGGCCATTTGGACGTAATTTTGGTCCGGGTGGACCAAATAATCCCAATTTCAATGGACCTGGCCCTAATTTCGGTCCCAATTTCCGTGGCAATGGGCCCGGCAATGGTCCCGGCCCTGGTCCATTCCGACCAAATTTCTGTGGACCGAATGGACCCGGTCCAAACTTTGGCGGTCCCGGACCATTCGGCGGACCAAACTCACCCGCAAACTTCGATCGAAACTTTGGCCCACCCGGGCCCAATCATCCGAACTTCAATGGCCCCCACAACAACAAAAACAACTTCAACGAAAATCCATTCAGACGCAATAGTGGAGGACCAGCGCCCAACTTTGATGATGGACCCGGCTTCGGTCCACGTGGCAAGTCACATCAAAAGAACTTTGGACATCAGCGCAACAACTTTGGCAGCGGAGGAAACAACAACGACAACAAGCCTTGGCCTGATGGGTATGTGTCATTAAGTTGTACTTAACTATATATGTCTCACTCTCTCTCTCTATTTCACTGACCACCCAGACTCTCACTCTTGCTCTTTATCACGTGTCTTTCCTATTTATATGTGTAGAGTAAATTTTGGGGGATTAAGTAGAATTTCTGTAAGCATTCCGTCTGAGTATGAAGAGCATTATAAAAGCAGAAGTATTTAATAATTGTCCTCATTTTGTCTGTCTGATTAGGATTTTAATTTCGATACAGTTCACTGTATGAATCCGGGGGAATGGGGAGGAACCCGGGAAAACTTGATTTCCTTTATCAGACAATTTCTAATAGACCTTAGCCGTAATGCACTATATAGTAATCTCGAACTCCAAGTCAGCTACCTTTCCTTTATTTATTGATGATATGTCTTAAGACTTAAGACTTAAGATTGGTATAGTTGTATTATGATTGCTGAATACTTTTATACTTGCTTACATAGATTGTCTTAAGACAAACAGATCCTTAAGACTAGAATAGTATAGTCTAGATAGTATAGCGATATTCTTATCCGATCGATGATAAATTGATTTTCATAGATCTTTATTTTTTTATTGAGAGAGATGGGGCTCGATATACAACTCAATTCAACAAATATAATAATTATTTTTCTAATGAGATGAAACCACAAGCAAATTAACATTGAATGAATGAAAACCAACTATAAACTATTCGACTCCAGCCCCAATTCAAACTTGTAGCTAGCATTAAGAAAACTCCATCTGAATTATCAAAATCGAATATAAAACTTGCAATTGTTTATTATATATCTCACAAATCTATAACAAAGTCTCCAAAATGACCGAGATTTCTAGGTTTGAATTCAGAATGCAAACAACTGTTAAATGTGATTAACTAATTGAACTTGAATGATTTGAGAAAGCTATTGATTGACATGAAATTCTGACGAATATTTTTGTTCAATTTATGATTTTAGGAATGTCTTTCCAATCCCACAGTTAGCTATCCCTAGGTCTAAGTGACACTATCTCAATTATAAGCTGATTTCAAATGATTTGAAAGTATGATAAGAATATCTCTCGTAAGGCAGAACCATCCGATAGTAGTCGAAATTGACCCGCCGTCCTTTATAAGTCTGTTCTCATATACGTTTTCTATGTTTGTAGCTTAAATGTGCAGGCATTTTGTTGATCTCGTCGTTAATGCTGGAATTTCGATTCCTTACCCGTTTTCTCTTTTTCTCTTCTACTTTTATGCACCCAAATATGTATATAAATAAAAAACAACAAAATAAAAACTAAAATTTAAATTACAATCAATCGAATCAATCAAATCACACAACAAATATATATCTATATTTATTACAAACATCAATTGACATTGCTATGAATTTCACTTGATCCATGCTCAATGCACATATGTATATATATATATTATAGCAATCGGTCGTTTCGTGGTAGGGGTGACAACTCCAACAGGAGCAATAGAAGCATGCAGCAGCAGCAACGCGGACCCAGGTCAAGCTAGATACGTGCCCTTCTTCTCGATTCTCCAAGCGCATATCTAAGATACAATAACACAACTGAAGAAATCAATGTTAACAAAAAGTCAATATCTCTCTCTCTATCTCTATCTATCTATCTCTCTCTCTCTGTCAGTTATTTTATATACACTACTATTTATGTAAATCATTAACAGCTAAAATCTCGTAACTAATTTTTAAGATCTCCAAAACATAATTATTTTGTTTGCTGTCAATAGAAATCAATGAATTTAGTTACTTGAAATTTAATTGAATATTTTTGAGAATGCTACTTGAAGTTTTCACTTTATCGAGGTGTATTGGTAATCCTCAGTTATCTGAAGCAACGAAGTGCAGTTTGATTTCTAGAAATTCCCCATGTATTTAGCATAATTAATACCTATTTACATACACATAATATACATATATAAATATGGTACACAAATACCTAAAGTTACGCAGAGATATAAAAAGAAATAACAAAGAATACATTGAATTAATAAAATGATTTTAAACATTATATACAATGCTGGCTTGCATTTTCATATGTCAAGAAGGGTGAATCTTATGGACAGAACTATGGTATTATTTATTTAAAATTTACTTTTAGAATCCGTCCGTAACTTTGAATTGAATGTCCCATGCGGTCCGATTTCCAATGGCTTGAAATTACTGGATAGTCTTGATGTTCTAAAATGTCTTCCAATACTCTTCAAATCTTGATCAGCTTCTCCTTGGTACCGTCCTGATCTATTTATCTATCTCAATGTTTCGATAACAAGAAAAAGCTGGGGTATAGGTCTGGGGAGTACGGTGTCCGATTAGTGAGGAAATTCTTAATTCCATTGCATTAGTTTCCAAAGTAATAGTTATTTTTAATGAGATTTATAATGAACTTAATATAAATTCTGAATGCAAATAACTCGTAAATCGTATATGCATCGCTATACTTTTTAAATATAACTCGTACATATGACACGCCCCATTATATTAGTTTAATCCCTGCCCCCTCCAAAAGGCTCGCCCCATGCTAAATGCTTTGAACTTTCCAAGCCGTGTGTCGTCTCTCATATCCAAGCAATATCTATCTATTGACACAATTACTATTGACATTCATAAGTCCAGAGCCGATTTTATCTTAGTTATATAAGCACTATTAATACAAACAAAGAATACTTGAAGAGTTACCAGAAATATGACTCATTCTATGCAAAATTTGCGCTGATCCCAATAAACCAAACCCTACTATTAACACTAATTGACAAAGCCTGAACTTCGGCAAGAGTCGAAGATTGGATGTGTCTTAAAGTATTTTGGTCTGATTGTGGTATTACGATATTGGTCCTTCAGTTGTCCGATGTGAGATGGGCGATTCCGAATTTGAAGTCTGTCATATGCCTATATATTATTGATATTCTTGTCAGTCTTGCCAAATCCGTTCTGGTGTCCTCCGTCTGTGCTTAAGAATATACATTATGTAATACCAGAAAAGTCTGTTTATTCTGTTATTCTATAAAGTCGTCTTTAAGAACCTTTTGATTTTTACGTAAGCTTGGAAAACTTTCAACTTCGGCATAGCCGAATATGATGTCTACCTCAACTATATTTTTACCATCTGGATGAATATACGCATATATCACGTATATATGTATATATATATAAATTGCCTTCGGCTTTAGCCGAACTGCCTTAGAGTGCATTTATGCTGTTCCAACAGGAACTCAGAGTCTCTAATCTTCGCCCCCATTAAGTTTGACCCTGCCCATTGCTCTGCCCCTGCCCCATGCTCTGCCTCTGCCTCTGCCTTGTCTCTTGATCTGTTATGTAAATATCTTGAAGCTACAATTGCTTGCCCCATGACAATAGCAATATATTTGTAAAAGTTTAAGTGTTTCTTTCTGGTTTAAAATTATGAAAAAAAAAAAAAATACGAAAAAAACTAAACCGATTAAAAACCAACAAATAAAAAAAAATGCAAAATGCAACAAAAACTGAAAAAAAAAAACACAAACAAACATAAACGAATAACAAATAATTGATTAAAAAACTGTTAAACAAACCAAACCTGGACCCTGCGTCACGCAACGTTGCAGCGCGGAGCAAACCGAAGACGAGATGCGAGCCGGCAGCAGCGAATCCGTCTATCGTCCGATGCAAGTGTTTGACTATCAGAACAGCAGCAACACCGCCGCCAAGGTCATCGACTATGGCCACAAGTCGGCCGATGGGGTTGTCAATCGGATGGCTGCTGTTGACCCAGGACCGGGACCAGGACCAGGACCAGAATCGGGACCAGGACCAGGCCAAGCTCTGCCAGACTTTAGGCCGGGTGTTACCTTTGACTATGGACATGCCTCGGTAGCTGGACCAGCTAGTGCTAGGCCCCTCAATCGGAATGCTAACCAGAAGTGTGGCAACAACAACACCAACAACAACAATAATAATAACAACAACAGCAACAGCAGCAAGAGGAAAAACAAAAGGAAGAATAAGAATCGTCAGCGTGCAATGCAACAGCAGCAGCAGCAACAGCAGCAGCAACAGCAGCAGCAGCAACAGCAGCAGCAGCAGCAGCAACAGCAACAACAACAACAGCAAGTTGCGGACTCGTTTATGATGCCCGACCCTGAGGTAGGTATCAAAGGTGGCTAATCCCGCTGCAAACTATCCAGAATGGGCGAATATAATGTCATGTCGTTCTGTATATATCCATTAGTTGAATGGCCAGCAGCTGGCCGTTGGCAAGCTCGATGACCTCGAGGACATATCCGATGGCGAGGAGTAAGTTTCAGTTTGATATACGTAAAGATCCATTTTGCTAATGCCACAAATTGATTGCAGTAATCTAACGGATTTAATGCGCGCGGAATCGCCACCACCGCCACCGCCGCCAATGCTCATCAGGCCGCCAATTCAGGAGCAGGTGCCACCGAAAGCTTTTCCAGCCAATCCACAGCGTCGCATGCTGAGCGAACCACCCACCGCTCTGTTCCCATCGACAGCAGCGGCCAATCAACATATACCAGAGCCAACGGCAGATGCCAGTTTGCTGGAAATGAATATACCAGCGCATGAGCATCGCAATACCATATCCATTGATGAGGTGCTGCTGCCGCCGGGTCGTCTGATGCGTCCGAAACGCATTTGCATCATATTGCGTGGTCCGCCGGGCTGTGGCAAGTCGTATGTGGCACGACTGATCAAGGAGAAGGAGGTGGAAATGGGCGGCGCCAGTCCTCGCATACTCAGCATCGATGATTACTTCATAATTGAAAATGACTACGAGGAGAAGTGCCCCAAGTCTGGCAAAAAGGTGAGCGTCGATGGGTGGACAATGTCTCTCTGAAAATTGTATTCATTCGTGTTCCATTTCCAGATACCGAAGAAGGAGATACTCTACGAGTATGATGAGGCCATGGAGGAGACCTATTTGCAATACCTGATCAAATCGTTCAAGAAGACACTTAGCGACAATCTCTATGACTTTGTTATTGTTGATTGCAACAATAATTCGTTGCGTTCACTTAACGAGTTCTATTGCAACGCTAAAGACTCGAATTTTGTGGTACGCAGCTCAAAAACTGTCTCCCTCTCCCTCTCCCACTCCCTCTCTATCTCTGTCCTGCTCTTTTCTACTCACTCTCTCTCTCTCTCCCTCTCTCTCTTTCAACCTGTCTCGCTCGAATCGATGCTGATGGCTTTCATTTTCCCAACAGCCCTACATTGTGGACATGCACTGCGATGTGGAGACGTGCCTGGGACGTAACAGCCATCAGCGTAGCGAGCACGATATACGTGCTGTGCTGGACAATTGGTGCACTACGCCGATGCAGTACATTAAGCTGGATGTCTCGTCGCTGCTGGAGAACGTTGTTGAGATGGAAGATGTTGAGAACATGGCAACGGTAACTATGATGCTGTAATGCAATCTACGGCTCACCACAGCTCACGGCCACGGCCACGGCCACAGCCGCCAGCCTGATCATTCGTCGGGCCAACAGCAAATTTGGGTGTGCGTGTGCGTGTGCGTGTGTGTCTGTGTGAGTGAGTGTGTGGCACTATTGTCGGTGTCTGACACTGGCAGTCTACAATAGTAAATAGTACATAATACTTGTGTTTACAATTATATATCTATTTATATCTATATCTAAATCAATATTTATATAGTTGAATTATATATATACGAGCAGTCTGTAGTGTAAGCACGAGTATAGCTTAGCTGGCAATGCCAATGGCCACGACAGCTCTTTAGACTAAGATTCTCTTGAACTCGTCTCTACAATATTTATACATGACTGTGTGTGGCATATGTATGTATTGCGTACATGTTGATATATACATACATATGCACGACTATACAAATGCAAAACTGTAAATCTGTTCAATACAAATAGAGCATTGCGTTGTTGTACCAATATATGAATCATTTTATCGAAAAATGCCCGCTTCACGAAATATTTTGAAATTAAGTAACTAAGTAAATGGTTTTTGGAGCGCTGGTCAAGCAAACATGTTGTTGATTTATTGTGGCTTGTTCATTGCAGGATGATAATGCCAATAGTGCGGAGCCAGCAACCGAGGAGGGTGCCAGCGATGCCCAAGCCGCTGCAGCTGCCGCTGCCCCCGATGAGGACAGCAATAGCGCTGATGCGGCCAACGATGTAAGTGTCTCAAGCATTAACCAAATCATGGTTAATTGCTCCCACTGTGGGCATAAGCTCTCTGGCTCTCGTGCTGTGTGCTTTATGCCTCTCTCTCTCTCTCTCTCTCTCTCTATCTCTATCTCTTTTACTCTCTGCCTCTGTCTCTGTCTCTGTATTTGTGTGTGTGGCTGTAGCTAATCCAAAAATATATCTATATATGTTCTTTTATTGTACGATTTTCTTGGCATGTATGTTGGTTGTGTAAAGTGCGGCTTTCTGAAAAGCAAGTGGGAAAATGATACCACGGAGGAAAATCTGGGTAAGTGCTGTCAAGTTGAAAGCCATTCTCCTTTGCTTTATGCCTAATGTCCCTCAACTTCAGCCCGTCTCGATGGCACGAAGCGCCTGATGCACAAGCGCAAAGCCGCTAGCATGGCTGACTATTTGCAGCTGGATGAATGGGAGCCGCCCACAGGCAGCTCGAATGGCAAGAAACGCGTAAGTGCCAGATGGCATCTATTTATACAGTATTTGCCTAAAGCTCGCCTATCAATGCTCTCTAGGTACGCTGGGCGGACATTGAGGAAAGGCGAGCCCAGAAAAAAATGCGTGCGATTGGCTTTGTGGTGGGGCAAACCGATTGGAAGCGCATGATGGATCCCAATGCGGGAAATCGTGCACTCAACAAAACCAAGTACATTGAACGCGTGCACAAAAGGCGCTAATCAGGCTGGATCCATTTCGATCCGATTTGGCAACGGCTGCCAACTGAGTGACATGTCACAAATGGAATCGTCTATGCCATGCGACCTCATCAAATTGGATTTATAGCTTAATTTTTTTTTTTGGTTTTTTTTTTTTTTAAGCTCTTTTGTTAATTGCTGATCGTATTCTAGTTAGGTAGTTCAGCTTTAATTTGTTAACACAAAGCTCGCATGCATCCAAATGTCGCGTGTCCCAGCGAACAAAAAGCAAACCAACAATGCAATCATCTACCATTTCCAATATGAATTGGGCTCAATTTCCAACACATCATGCATGCATGACAAACAAGTATGTATTCTATTATTACATAATTACTAATAATAGGATGTAGGCAATTATCAATGATGTCAAACTCCTTGACTTATATGCATTTACAGTACCCACTGAACTCAACTTTTTTATACAATTACATTTTATCTATTGTGTGTGTATTGTTTCTTTGTGTTGTTGTAACAAATATTTGTTTGTTTGTCTGTTTGTTTTGTCCTTTTCCTTTTTCTTTTTGAGTTATGCTCTTTAAAAACCATGCATTCAAGCACTTCAAAAAGCAAATTATTTATAAGATTAAAAAA